ATTAACCCTAGTTTAAATTATAAAATTGTATTTATATAATAGAAATTCGGGTTGAATCCGATTATTAATTTGAGTTAAGTCCGATTTTAATATTCGGGTTCAACCCGTGAACCCGAGGCTGCCCAAATTGAATTCGGGTTGAGATTTTTTGACCCAAGTCTAACCCAAGTATTAAAAAATCTTGCCCAAGCCCTAATTTTTTTCGGGTTGAAATCATGTTCCCCGGCCCAAGTTGCACCCCTAGAAAAAATGAAACAGTTACTATAGTCTTAAAAAAACAGTTACACGTAATTGTTTGTCAAATTAATATAAATACTGACCCGGTTGCAAAACAAGAGCTGTTATTGAACTTTATGTAGATCAAAGCTAGTGTTTAATACTATGTCCTTAAGATAGTTTTCGTCTCCGCACACAGTGCTTATGAAATATCAAACGTTTGCCTCATATGATACAATGATCTTCACACGAGTAGAAGTAGCACTTTAATCTACTCATCCAGTGAACCAGAAATTGTGTTGTGTACTCTTCAAATGCAGACTGTCATAATGATGTATGAGATTGTCTTATATGACTAAGAATGTATTGGATGAATTGAAAGAATTAGATGTAAAATGATTATGTGACCGAGTTATTTATAGAGAGAATGGTGACTGACCCAGATAGTCACCATGTGAATGGATGCAACTCAATAGTCACATGCAGCCAGAAGACACCACTTGTATAACTATTCTCTATGAACAGACACAACTCAGATTTCAGACTAGAGAGAAGAAAAAAATTCGAACCAGTGGGTACTGAAAATTAAATTCTAGATTAAAAAATTCACGCTCAATTAATTAAATGAATTTTCTCAAAAAATATAGGGTTTGTTCTAAACCACAACCATACTAGAGCCCGAGCTCAAGCTCGGCCTGGTCGAGTTGGGTCGTGGCGTGGTGGGTGGGTGGTGCACGCACGCAAGTTTGGTAGAGCTGAAGGCATGTTGGTGCTCGCTCCCCTCATAAAACTATGGTACACATTGGGGTCCAATCTCATAGAGCAAACTTGACATATAAATGCCCATTTAAAATTTATTTCTCTACCAATGCAGGATTGGTGTCAAATCCTACATTACACACAGCCTTTATTTTTACATTTAAGAGGGTCATTTGAAGTCTATTTTATCATTCATTTTTTTACTTGAATTCAACAAGTGAATATACTACATTATTCTTCTCATGAAGTAGAATACAAACCCATGAAAGTTTACTCAAAACAACGAATGGGTCTCACTTTAATTTAGACTAAAAGTCGACCAAAAATTCAGTTTTTACACTTAAGTAACAACTTTGAGAAACTGTTTTTGGTCCAACATAAACAATTTAGTTTAAAGTTGAAGCATTTAATCACGGAGCAACACTTCTTTTCTCTTGAAGGAGCAAGATTAACCAGAGGCATTTCCCTCATCACCCGTATTGTCATATTTGTTATACTTTGTATATGTACTTGTATTTATGTTTTCATTTGAATAGCATCAAATGAAATTATTCCTCAGAATTGTTGTGCCATCAATATCTCTTAATAAAATTCTAATTTTTTTTTTTGGTTTTTTTATCAAATAATCAAATCTAGAAAATTCTGATTAATGAGGGAGGGATTTTGGTGTAAGTTATGTACATCAATTATGTCTAATATAAGATATTGGTTTAGTGGGGGCTGCCTGTGTCTTAGAGTTGGTATAAAGATTATATTTTTGAAGTACTCCCCATGACTTGGTTCTAGATCAAAGCTAAGAGAGAGATTTAATGTAGTAATGTAAGAAAAACTTCACATAGAGAGATAAATAGTATATTGAATGAGACGATAAAAAAAGGTATGATAACTTACAATTTGTGTAAACATGCACAGTTCAAAAGAATTCACAAGCTTCAAATTGTAAAACGCGAATTGATTTGTGATTTTGTCCTTAATGCTTCTTTGTTTTACTTTTCATTTTTTAGTTTACTACTCTTTAGTTTCCCAATAGAGTTTACTTATGGTTTTTATTTTTTAGACAATTAATGGTGCCAAAATAATCCACAATCTAAGAATGATGGTTTAATCAACGACCCCCTCAAAAATTGAAAAGAGGTGATTATCTCTTTGGGTGCTCTGATGCATGTGTGTGTTGTATAAATAATAGAGTAGAAACACTACACATGCAAATATGGTCATTGGTGCATTTTTATGATCTTCTTTTTCTCCTCATTATGATATGATTTTTCTTGGCAAGTTCGTGTGGTTGAGTTTATTATTGAAGTCATTTAGCAAATTGGACTTCTCTGTAGATTAAGGCATTTGGAATTATATTATTATTGCTCCAATGAACAAAGGAATGTAATGGGTAAATACATGATCCCATTTATGATTGATAATGTTTAGTTGTCCATGATCTGACAATACAATTCATGTTCATCTACAATATGGATACGGCTGCTTGCAAATATCAATATCCATTGGTCTGCCCATTTGTGCAAGATGCCATCATTTCTCAAGAAAAGTCTCATGGGAGTCCTTCCCTCAAGGTATTGGCCATGTGGTGGTGGAGATGGTTATGGCAGTGTAAGGCTATTACAAGTGATGAGCAAAAGTTCTTTGTTTTTCTCCAAGTCTTTATTTCTATTGTTTCTAATATATATCCCCCGTTCGGATTGTACTCACTATGATTGTTTATTTCTCATTTGTCTTTTGCTTCTTTGAATTTCAAATGATAGAATTATGATTGTTTTTTATTGTTTGGATTTTTAGTTCTAAATCTATTGCTCATAGAGGATGAAATTTTTTAGATTAAATTAAGCTCATTTTTTTTGAATTTATTGAGGCCAAAAAATTATTAAGTCCCTTAAAATGAATTATGTGTGCCAATTTTCTTTTGCTTATGCTCATTTTTTCTTAATTGTCCATTTTTTGGGTTATACATTGTCTTTATGCATGAACATATATTTGTAATTTTTTTTATGAGTAATATGGTGCCTCCAGCCACAGACAATTACTAGTAAATTTATAATATACTTAGATATAAAAATACTCAAAAATAAAAAATCTTACAATGAAGTTTTATTATAAACAAAAGAGAACATGTTAGTTATAAAGAGAGGTAGAATATGTCTATAATTAAGTTTAATAATAATTAAAATAAGAATTGATTATCTGACATATAATTTATTATTCAATTTAATTAAAAGTATAATTATATTTTTATGTAAAATATTATTTGAATATATTCACGTGCAACACACATTATACATACTAGTAGTACTAAATGTACAAAAGAGCAATGCTATTACGACATAATTTGGGGACATAATGATATGAATATTAAATTATCAGTGAGTCATAATATTTAATGCACTCCAATATCAATACAATGATCATAATACATTATATCCCAATAATATTAGTGTTCATGAGATCACAAAATATCACTTTTACAACAAGATTAACATCTATCATTCTTATTCAAATTATAATTCAAATTAAAATTTAAGTAAAAATATATTTAAATTAAAATTTACTTTTTTTTTTTACTCAAATTTTTACCAAATGAAGGAAAACTTAAATTTTTAATCATATAAATAAAATATTCAAATTTTTACACGAATATTCAATAATCATATTTTACTCTTCTTTAAATTTGAGTTTGTCTGTATTTAAATTTAAATTTATTTTTTTTAAATTTAAAATTTTCTATTAAAATGTTTTGTACGACATCAATCTTTTTATTCAAAGGTTGAGTTGTAACTTAGCATGAGATGCCCTAATAAACCTATATAGCATTAGTGTTCCCCATGGTGTAGGAAGACATAAATTATTCTTCATTTTCCATCATTCACCTTATTTGTTTACATGGTTTGAAGTTTTGTGGGATCCACAAAAAAAAAAAAAGAAGAACACTAATGGTGTCATTATTTAATAATTTATAAGAATGTCATTTTATTTATGTATAACAAATAAGGTAAACAAGGCAATAAGTACCTCATTATTTATAACCGAGCCGAAAAATGCAAAGCAAACAAGGCAATAATTATGGCCAGGACCCCTTATACCAACCTTTTGAGTGCAATGCAATTTAGATTTAAAATTTTGATCTAATTTGTTGATATACCAATGTGATTTTATTAAAATTATTAGATCAATACTAAGTTTCAATATTTGATGGGACCTATAGTCAATCCAAAAATCATAATAAATTAGGTCAGTAAATTATAACCTAAAAGCATTGCTCTTTACTCAAAGCAAACATATCTATTTTGAACAAATCTTAACATCGGTTCAGATGGCCCAGATCAGCCGGTATCTTATCATCTAAGCTTAAGTCCAGCTCAGAATATATTGGGCTAAAATGCTTAGCGTAATCCATTAGCATGGACCACTATCAAAGCCCAGCCCCTGAAATTTATGGACTGGGTTTTGGCAGGCCACTTGGCCCATAAACTGCCCCAACTCCAAATTAAGTAAATCATCACAAATTGTTTCCTTAGTTTCCCTGATTACCCAACTAATCAAACTGTCATACAAATAGTGGGCTAATCGCAATTTACACCTTGAAAGATTCTCAAATTTTTAATTTATGCCCTGAAAGATAAGATTTTTTAATTTTCACCCTGAATGTTATCAAAACAATGCAATGTACACCGGTCCCAAACGTTCGTTCAATTTACCGTCTGAAACTCCAGCACACAACTTGCACGTGATTCTTGCAGGGATTGAATTGTAAAAATACATTCCTTGATCTCATGTGAGTAGCACATGGTATTGGTTCATCTGAAACCTCCTTTCTCAGTCTCAAAAAAGGAGAGAAATGAAGGTTCATCTTCTTTACAACCTTTATCAATCTCAAAAACNAATTGTAAAAATACATTCCTTGATCTCATGTGAGTAGCACATGGTATTGGTTCATCTGAAACCCCCTTTCTCAGTCTCAAAAAAGGAGAGAAATGAAGGTTCATCTTCTTTACAACCTTTATCAATCTCAAAAATAGAAACGAAGGTGCTTGTGTTGGGTGGAACACAATCAAAGCTGCTAACCTTGTCTGTGGAACACAATCGAAGCTGTTGACCTTGGAGATCGATCAAATATCTTGGGTTGTAAAGGAGTATAACTGTGATATACCACATGGACAAAAGTTGTCAATTTTTGGTGAGAATTTGTTTGTTTCCATCTGGAATGGTTCCAGTTTTAATGGTGTGCTTCTGGTTTTTCTTTTCTTTTCTTTTCTTTTTTTGTGTGATTGTTTTCAAAGTTATAATATATTATGTGTTTGTGTGGGCTTGAGGTATTTGGTTTTATGTGATTTTTTTTGTCTGCAAGAAGTTGTGTGATTTGTGCAGGTTAATTTTTATATTCAAGTGTTGAATATTAAAATATTTTTTTTTATAAATTAGTATTTGTTCATGCAGAAGCTAGCACAGATTATTTTACAATAAAAATGCATCATAGTGGTAAATTTGAGGGTTATGGTGACAAAGTGTACACATGTGGGAGATGGAACCACTTTGATATGTGTCATGCTGACCAAATATCTTTGATAGAGTTGAACAACATGCTGAAAGATGTTGGAGTAGGTTATTCTGAGAATACAAAATACTATCATAGAGCTAGTAAAGGGTGGAGGGTATTGAAAAATGATTAGCAGGTCATGGAACTTGAGAAGTGANTTTTGTCTGCAAGAAGCTGTGTGATTTGTGCAGGTTAATTTTTATATTCAAGTGTTGAATATTAAAATATTTTTTTTTATAAATTAGTATTTGTTCATGCAGAAGCTAGCACAGATTATTTTACAATAAAAATGCATCATAGTGGTAAATTTGAGGGTTATGGTGACAAAGTGTACACATGTGGGAGATGGAACCACTTTGATATGTGTCATGCTGACCAAATATCTTTGATAGAGTTGAACAACATGCTGAAAGATGTTGGAGTGGGTTATTTTGAGAATACAAAATACTATCATAGAGCTAGTAAAGGGTGGAGGGTATTGAAAAATGATCAGCAGGTCATGGAACTTGAGAAGTGGGCAAATAGTAACAGAGTGGTTGATCTATATGTGGAACACAATAAGACTTGTATATTGAACCCTAGTCAAGCTGAGTCAACTTGTAGTAATGGGGTAGCATCTAAGAGTTCTTCTCATAAAGATGAAGTTGACAGTGAAGAATGCTCACAGGGTGAGTCTTCTGGGTCAGAATATTTTTATAATAATAAATATGATATGGAGAATTCTCAGTTGTATGAGAATGCAGTTGATGATGATTCTAACTTTGTAGGGAAGGGGAAAAGGGTTAAAAGTAACAAACAAAAAGGGGATCAGAATGTTAAGGCAATAGGAATGGACAATGACAGTGGTTTAGTAGGTGAAGATTATGAGTCTGATGAGCTGCAAAGCCTTAGTGGCTCATCTGATAAGGATGAAACAGGGGTGAGAGGGTTAAGTATCCACATTTCAATGCTAAGATTGATATGGTTGACCCATAGTTTAAGATAGGGATGTTAAAAGTTCAATTGAGTTCAGGGCAGCAGTGAGACAACATGCAATCAAATGGGAAAAACAAATATGATTTGCAAAAAATGAGAAGTATAGGGTGAGAGCAGTTTGTAAATCAGGTTGTGATTGAATGATATATGCTTCAAGATTGGGTTTCAGAGATGACCATGCAGGTAAAAACTTACGTTGGTAGACATAGTTGCAACAACAATTTTAAAGTGAAGCATGTCAATACTAAGTGGGTTGCAAGTACATATATTGACAAAATTAGATCAAACCCAACCTGGCCCATTAAGTCACTGAAAGAAACAATTTTGAAAGAACATGTAGTGAAGTTACATCCCAGTTCAGTATATAGAGCCAAACAAAAATCAATTACAATGGTGAATGAGACTGATAAAGAACAATTCAGCATGTTGTGAGATTATTGTGAAGAGTTAAGGAGAACAAACATAGGGACCACTTGTATTATTAAAACTAAGTCTGTAGCAGGAGATCAATTTATGTTCAAAAGNGTTGTGATTGAATGATATATGCTTCAAGATTGGGTTTCAGAGATGACCATGCAGGTAAAAACTTACGTTGGTAGACATAGTTGCAACAACAATTTTAAAGTGAAGCATGTCAATACTAAGTGGGTTGCAAGTACATATATTGACAAAATTAGATCAAACCCAACCTGGCCCATTAAGTCACTGAAAGAAACAATTTTGAAAGAACATGTAGTGAAGTTACATCCCAGTTCAGTATATAGAGCCAAACAAAAATCAATTACAATGGTGAATGAGACTGATAAAAAACAATTCAGCATGTTGTTAGATTATTGTGAAGAGTTAAGGAGAACTAACATAGGGACCACTTGTATTATTAAAACTAAGTCTGTAGCAGGAGATCAATTTATGTTCAAAAGGTTATATGTATGTTATGGGGCATTGAAGAGGGGATTACTTGAGGGATGTAGGCCATTAATTGGAATAGATGGATGTCATCTAAAGGGCTCACAGGCTGGAATTTTGCTTGTAGCAGTGAGAATTGATGCCAACAACCAAATGTATCCATTTGCATTTGCTGTAGTTGAGAAAGAAACCAAAACATCTTGGGCATGGTTTCTTCAACTTATTAAACAAGATCTTCAAATAGTGAATTCACATGTATGGACTTTCATGTCAGATAAACAAAAAGCAACTATCTAGATCCTTTACTTTTCAATTCACTTGTGGCATAATGCAATTAACATTAAATGTTATACATTCTAATTGACTTTTAATGTTGCAGGGATTGTTGGATGTAGTGGAAAGTCTTTTCTCAAATGCTGAACACAGGTTTTGTGTAAGGCATTTGTATTGTAACTTCAAAACAGAACATAAGGGATTAGTTCTAAATGATCTATTGTGGAGGGTTGCCAAATCAACAACAATTGTTGATTTCAATAATGTTATGGAGGAGTTAAAAGGGATTAATGTGACTGCTTATAATTGGTTGTCTGATAGACCACCAAAGAATTGGTCTAGAGCATACTTTAGTACCTTCCCCAATTGTGATATGTTGTTGAACAATATGTGTGAGAGTTTTAATGGGTGTATTTTGGAGGCTAGGGAGAAGCCTATTATTACTATGCTTGAAAAAAAATAAGAAATTGGTTAATGGAGAGGTTACATGTACAGAGGGATTCTATACATAAGTATAAAGGGAGTATTTGTCCTAATATTCAACAAAGATTGGAGCTCATCAAAGTGGAATCAGCTGGGTTCATACCAACCTGGAATGGGGATGACAAATTTGAAGTAGTTTGGATGTATGGTGAACAAAGAACTGTTAATGTGAAGGTTAGGACATGTAGTTGTAGGCAATGAGATTTAACTGGAATTCCATGTAAGCATGCAGTATCTGCTCTCTGCTACCTAGGATTAAGAAAAAAAGACTATGTGGCTGAATGGTGCAAAGTGAAAATTTTTCTGAATTGTTATAGCCACCTGTTGAGTCCTATTAATGGAAGGGACATGTGGCCTAGAACAGGTTACTCACCTTTAATCCTTCCTGTTGTAAGCAAGATGCCTGCAAGGCCTAAGAAAGTTAGGAGAAAAGAAAGAGATGAACCATCCAATGGTAACAAATTGAAGAGAAAATATAAGCAGATTGTGTGTTCAAGTTATGGTCAAATTGGTCATAACAAGAGGAAGTTCAAGAAGGCAATAGCTGCATCACCACCACCTGAAACAACACCATCGCAAACAAAATCATCAGCACCACCACCTACAACACCTTTTGTAGCACCACCTGCAGCAACGCCACCTGCAACACCATGTACAACACCAAGAGTGAAATTACATGTGTGTAATTTTGTGTGAAATTGATTTTATTTTTATGTTTGGTGTCAATACACTACTACATTTCATACTTACACTTATGCATTCTATCGGGTTAGAAGGAACAAAGATACATCACCATTTGCTACACAANATGTGTGTAATTTTGTGTGAAATTGATTTTATTTTTATGTTTGGTGTCAATACACTACTACATTTCATACTTACACTTATGCATTCTATCAGGTTAGAAGGAACAAAGATACATCACCATTTGCTACACAGNCAACAAAGATTGGAGCTCATCAAAGTGGAATCAGCTGGGTTCATACCAACCTGGAATGGGGATGACAAATTTGAAGTAGTTTGGATGTATGGTGAACAAAGAACTGTTAATGTGAAGGTTAGGACATGTAGTTGTAGGCAATGAGATTTAACTGGAATTCAATGTAAGCATGCAGTATCTGCTCTCTGCTACCTAGGATTAAGAAAAAAAGACTATGTGGCTGAATGGTGCAAAGTGAAAATTTTTCTGAATTGTTATAGCCACCTGTTGAGTCCTATTAATGGAAGGGACATGTGGCCTAGAACAGGTTACTCACCTTTAATCCTTCCTGTTGTAAGCAAGATGCCTGCAAGGCCTAAGAAAGTTAGGAGAAAAGAAAGAGATGAACCATCCAATGGTAACAAATTGAAGAGAAAATATAAGCAGATTGTGTGTTCAAGTTATGGTCAAATTGGTCATAACAAGAGGAAGTTCAAGAAGGCAATAGCTGCATCACCACCACCTGAAACAACACCATCGCAAACAAAATCATCAGCACCACCACCTACAACACCCTTTGTAGCACCACCTGCAGCAACGCCGCCTGCAACACCATGTACAACACCAAGAGTGAAATTACATGTGTGTAATTTTGTGTGAAATTGATTTTATTTTTATGTTTGGTGTCAATACACTATTGCATTTCATACTTACACTTATGCATTCTATCAGGTTAGAAGGAACAAAGATACATCACCATTTGCTACACAGTCAACACCAAGTGTACCACTTAGGCCAAAAACACTGTCTTCAACTACGCCAGTTGGACCAGCTAGACCACGCACAAAATTGAGGCCATCATCTTCAACTACATCAGTTGGACCACACACAATGTGGAGGCCAATTGCACCAGTTGGACCACACACAAATTTGAGGCCATCATCTTCAACTACATCAGTTGGACCACGCACAATGTGTAGACCACTAACAAGATGGAGGCCACCAAAAACATCATTATCAGCTGAATCATCAATATGTTAGAAGTCATCTATGGAATGTTGACTTTTTTTTTGGATGACACATTTTTTGTTGAGATTAGTTGTATTCTTTTTTGGCTGATCTCATTTTAGGAAGCATGTGTCACCATATTTTGCAAGCTCAGTTTCTGGATTAATGATGATGTGAAACTTGCTTTTAGTATTGAATGGAATTATTGGGCACTTTCGATTACTGATGTTTCTTTCCATTTCATATTCAATTGCACTTTTGAATTCAAACAAAAGAGATTCACTCATAATCCATTACAATCCATCTTCATTACAACATAATATCATCGCAATACTTAATACAGAACTATGTCATAAAGTTTCACTACATCTATCTACTTAGACAACCATTAAATCTATCTTCATCAGCTTTACTACTCAGAGACCAGTTGGAAGCTCTCCATCAATACCATCTTCAAAGGGGTCACTCTTATAGCAACAAATTAGGATCATAAGCAACCAAGAAACAACCAAACAGACCCACAACATTCTTGCCCTTCCTCTGTGTCTCTCCACTTGTGTCTCCAAGTTTGTTACATGACGTAATAAGCCGGGTATTATCTATCGTGCTCGTATACACATAGGTGGATCAACCCAAAGAAAATAACCAAATGGACCACCTTCCTACAAGTGCAAAATACAAATATTTGTTTACTCTGTGCAAAAAAAATTACATAAAAGACTTTTTTCAAATAAAAAAAATCAGATGAAATAGAACCACTATAATCCATAATGTGTGAGAAATCAATGAGAAAAAATGGTCTGAATGCACATCTTAGTTCATCAATTGCAAGAATATTGTTAAATTTCTAATGGGATGTGAAGTTATACTGCATAATTATCGCAAACCCTAAACCTCCTCCAAGGGTTTAGGTCTGTCCATGAGGTCTTCATTGCTGTCCTTCAACCACTGTAGCAGACCCATTCCATTTTTTACTCTGTTTGTTATCTTTTTCTTCCTTGTTTTTCTTCCGGCTTTTCCTTCCTCTTCTTCCCTTGCACAGCTAACTTTCTCCGACCAATCTTATACGAAGACAAAGACGAAGGTAAGCCAACTTCAATTTGGCGCCAAAGGAATGTGTTTTTACAATTCAATCCCTGCAAGAATCACGTGCAAGTCGTGTGCTGGATTTTTAGACAGCAAATCGAACAGACGTTTGGGACTGGTGCATATTGCATCGTTTTGGTGACTTTCAGGACACAAATTGAAAAATCTTATCTTTCAGGGTATAAATTAAAATTTTAAAAAAATTTTAGCCTACAAATGTTCAATTAATTTTATTTTCAAAGCTCATTTCAAATCGAATAAAATTAAAGTTGAAGTGAAAGGTCGAAATCGAATGCTTGGCCACGTNATCCCTGCAAGAATCACGTGCAAGTCGTGTGCTGGATTTTTAGACAGCAAATCGAACGGACGTTTGGGACTGGTGCATATTGCATCGTTTTGGTGACTTTCAAGACACAAATTGAAAAATCTTATCTTTCAGGGTATAAATTAAAATTTTAAAAATTTTTTAGCCTACAAATGTTCAATTAATTTTATTTTCAGAGCTCATTTCAAATCGAATAAAATTAAAGTTGAAGTGAAAGGTCGAAATCGAATGCTTGGCCACGCTTTTGATTGTGACATTGGAACTCCACTTAAAAGTGAGCCCGCCCCTTTTGAAATATGTTCACCGAAAGCCCACATTAATATTGCTCTGTATTTCTAAGTTCAAATTTTGGTTATTCATTGAAATTGGATTATAAGAAATTTATTCTTATAAATACTCTAGTCTCAATATGGATAATCTGTATTTGAACAGTTTGAGAAAATGATTAATCAAGATACACGTAAATTAGTTTAGACATCTCTGACCGTTGAATAAAAAAAATAAAACAAATGCTCGTGAGTCACAATGGTACTACAATTCAAACTCTGTTTATTTCACACGTCTCCTTTCGGATAAATTTCCATCTTGATTTTTCACTTTGACCTGCATGTATATATATCATCATGTAGTCCTTCATTTTAAGACATTTATATTATGTCACATACGCGTATAGCTAGTGAAAATGACACAACCTGAGCATAACAAGTTTGTTCGGGTGTTTTGAATTCATTGAATCTCCCCGCTGTTTGGTATGTTTTTTGGGATAAGTTTGAACTTACTTGTCCAAATTCAAAGATGGGGTTCAATATTTAATACTATTCATATTCATGTTTGGTATGCACAGAGATATATGATTATTATANGTTCGGGTGTTTTGAATTCATTGAATCTCCCCGCTGTTTGGTATGTTTTTTGGGATAGGTTTGAACTCACTTGTCCAAATTCAAAGATGGGGTTCAATATTTAATATTATTCATACTCATGTTTGGTATGCACAGAGATATATGATTATTATGATAATATATTTGTATGTAAATAACTATTATACCCCTTAACTAATTTGTATATATAGAGTATATAAAATATATGAGAATATAAATGACATTTGTATGTTCAATCTATTAACCCACATATCAAACTCACTCCCTTTAAATTTCATGAAACCCATGAACTTAGATTTCGTTTTCCGGCTTAAAGTGGGTTAGGTTTCAAACTCTCGAGTAATTGTGTATTTGCCTAACATAAATTTGAAAGGATTTATTTCCCAACCCATATTTTAAAAACCCCTCAAACGTACGTACCAAACAAGCCTCTACGTGCATCTCTCTTGAAAATTACAGGACCCCAACTAAGGTAAGTCTTTGCGGGTTTTTAAGAGTCGCTAAATCTTACTAGAAAAATTAGGAGTTGGAGTCTTGTCTAATTGCAGCAGTACACAATTCTTCTTTTAGGTCAGTGCGTTCCGCTAGAGGAATATTTTCTTTCCCAAGGCAAATATAATTTCAAAGTACGGAAAGGTGATGGATTCCATGTGACTGTGATTCCTTGATAAGGCAAAAGGTATATATATATACTTTTTAGTCTCACTAGTGAGTTAGTAAATTTGAAAAAGTTTCAAAGAAATTGTTTACGGAATTTTAAAAAAAAATTTGGTGCTCATTTTTATTATATTTATGGGTATTTTTTATCACATAATTATTTTAATTTTTTTTTTTATAAAAATAATTACTATAACAGTGATAAAAACAATCACAAGTGTGGTAAATCATTCACAAAAATAAAATATTTTTTTGTACTAAAAAACATTAGTAAAAATAGTTATCACAACAGTGATAAAAATACCAACAAATGTGATAAATCACTCCTAACAAAAAATTTTTGGTTTTTAAATAACCTACAAAAATTGTAAAAATATCCAATAATATAGTAAAATTTAGAGGAACGGTATTGAAATTTTTTATTCGATGTTATAGTTAAGTCCAAGTTCAATTATTTGGATTTTAGCAACAGCAATGCCGTACACTTCACCTTTGTGCCCAACTTTTGTACATCATCTCAATATGAATCTTTAGATTAGTGAATTTAACTGAATTTGTTAAATATTTAAAAGTTTAATATAGAATCAATCAACTCAATCAATTTCTTGAAATAGAATCATCCGCCATCAAATCAAATAGAACCCGCTGTATATTAATGGGTTATCTATAAATACATAAGGACGATTTAAACTGATAAAAATGGAGAAAAAAATATATTAGAGGGAATGTAAATCCACGAGAGACAAGCGGATTCATGGTGGGGATTTCAATGAATCTATTTGCAACTTGCCACGAGGACCCTCTGTCCGTATCAAAGCTCTGTATGCATTAAATGTCATTGGCGGATACAACGCAGGTCTCTCCTCCGTGACAAGCTCTTTAGCAGGTTCAATGAGGATATCGCCCTTTGGGTTGTAGAAGAAGGCAAGAGACACTCGTTCTTTCACTGAATTCACAATCACCCTGTGTTCCACGCTCTTATAGGCTGCATTACTAAGCACCTGTCCCCATACATGCAACAGGAAAAAAAAACAACCAACGTAATAAAGTTAAGTGACCAGTATGCGATGGCATTCAGGCTGTTTAGAGTTAGCTCTTTTGAGTGCAAAATCGAGGAAAAAATTAGAGATAAAAAAATTCTTGAACTCATTTGAAGTGTTTTCTAGTCCCGCATGAAGGCATTTTTTTTTATCAGATTAGAAAAAAAATTGATCAAAATACATATAAATTAATCTAAACACCGCCATAAGAACCAAAAAAAAAATAATAAATCTAGCCTATCTTCCAAGCAACTATTGGCAGAAGTAGCGAGGCCGAATTCAGGTGTGTTTGTGTGTGAGAGAGAGAGAGAGAGACCTGGATTTGATCCCCAATGTTGACGATGAAAGCATTAGGCACTGGTTTAACCGTGATCCAGTTATCACCTTGACGGACTTGCAGGCCAGAAACGTCATCGTCCGGGAGGAGAAGGGTCAAGGCACCAGGGTCGGAGTGTGATGAGAGACCAAGTGTTAGGTCTGGTTGTGGACACTTTGGATAGAAGTTTACCCTTAAGCATGCACCAACGTCGTCTCCTCCAAAAGCTTGCTGAAGATAATCCTCTCCTAATCCAAGATTTACTGACAAAACCTTCATCAAATTCTCACAGAGTTTAACCACTTCTTTACCATACTCAGCAACCAGTTCCCTAGAAGCATAACGAATAGTTCATTATTTTCCACATGTTTCATAGGTATTGCATGAAAATAATTATCTTCAGACATGAGATTGTCACAAGAAAACGATGTGCATTATTTTATGCTCTATAAAGTACAGAGAGAAGATGGAAAAAATGTGCAATTGTTTTGCTTGTACTGTGATTATAAATCTCTTATTAATACCTTAATTAAAAACACTACAAAATCTAAAAAAATTAGATATATGTACTCTTATATTCTTGTTTGGAAAAATTATTATAGAAAAATTCTATGGTATTGAAAAAAAATTCAAGAACCTTCCATCGATTATCATTTTTTATATGTAAAGTTATATTTTGAAAGCAGAAATTACAATTGTTCACGAGAAAGTCAAGATTGATCACAGACACTTATGATGGATCATGAAAATTTCAGAATCTACAACAATCTTTCATAATCGATCTTATCTTTTAAAATTATAAATTATAACTCAAAAAAGTTTTAATTTAATCTTAAAAAATTATAATTTTTTGGTATGATTTTCCAATCACCCTAAAAACAAACTTATCAGGGGTATTAATTGTACGGGTACCATGCCAAGTGTAAGAGAATATGTCAGCAATCAAGGTAATCGATTGTTCTGTGATCATTAAATGGAAAATAATATATAAAAAAAAATTCATAACTTATGATACAAGTAAAGCCGATAATTAAGTCGACTATGTTAAACTCCTTTTTTAACTGAATTAAAAAAATTATTAAAATTTAATTCATTTAAAAAATGAGTTGAGTTTAAATCGAATAGTTCGACTATTTTATACATAAACGTGTCGAATTTTGTGAGATTAAATTGAACGTTTTAAACCCGTTTTTTTAAATAAATTATAAAATTATTTAATTGAACTCGAATTGAGTCCAACAAAAGTCAAATTTAAATCTAACTCAAATAATTCGATTCAATTATCAGCACTATATGCAAGATGTGACATTAATTTACAAAATTAAATGGATTATGTAGAGCACAAATCTAAACTTATTTGTGAAGTTAATTTTGGAAGCGCCATTGCTGTCCTACTGTCTACGTTCTTATCTTATCTCTCTCATGTACACTGGTGGCGCGTACCTGCATGATGGTGGCAGACTTGGCCACTTATTCTCATCCCTCATAGACTCAGGAAGGAAATGAAGAAAGAAGTAGTCACTCCAATCCAACTTGGCACCCTTTTGGACCCCGAGGCGGCTACCGTAACCCTCATATGTAGCCGGTGAGTTGGCGTGCACTTGCTTCTCTTCAAGAGGAAGGTGAAAGAACTCGCGCCACACCTCGCGTGCGCGGGTCATCAGGTCATGGCTCACGCCATGGTTGACAACTTGGAAGAACCCCCAGTGGCGGCACGCACCGGAGATGAGGCTCAAAGTGGTGGCGCGTAGAGAGTTGTCACCGGAAGACAAGTTTTGGAGATCAATGACTGGGATGTTCACGTCACTGGATGGTAAGTCCAGTGACAATGGACGGTCGGCCGGCCGTTTAACGTAGCGTTCGGGGAGAACCCTTATTCCACTGTCCGAAAGAGATTGCGCTCGGACCACTGGTTCTGGCCAGTTTTGTAAGCAGGTCATCATTGAAGAACAGGAGAGAGAGAGAGAGAGAGAAAGATGGGGTGGGAGGGAAGAGGATGGAGGTGGTGGTGGTTATGGGATAGTGAGTCTAACTCTAATGTGATTATTTACGTGAAATAGACATGAAACTGAACGTGGAGAGAGAGAGAGAGAGAGAGAGGGAGTGAGAGAACAGCTAGCTAGCTTGTGTGTAGTGTAGTGATGGGTGAGAGCTAAGCAGCAAGATAAGACATATATATAAACGCACGCGCAAAGATTATATAGAGTGAGCTAAGCTTAGTCCAGCGCCGTGAGGAACTTGATTTGCTTCCTTTGAGTGGGGTTCTGTCTTTAGAGCAACATGGAATGGTCGAATTAATTTGGGTTTTGTTATATCTTTTTTCTTTTGGGAAAGTCAAATATTCAATTGATACATAACACACGTAATATACTATTAGAGATATGAATACTTACTTAGATATTGATGATTTTATTTTTATTCTATCATATCTCTAATATATACATCTGTATACAAAAACAACACAGGGAAGAATTACAAAAAAGATAATTCCACAAGTTTCAATTCAGAAGCGGGCCCAAGCCATCCACATAGACCTATCTCATAATAAAACTATAATAGCAAGGATTTGCTTATATTCTAGCTAGGATGAAGTTGTCGTAAACAGTTATTTAAATGTATACGATGCATTTTAAAGCCATTCCAACGTTGAAACAATAACACTTCTCAACCATCGAATGTACAATTAATTTTATATATTGATGATGATGAATTTAAGTTTGAACCCTTTTACATGGCATTCACTATGTCCGGTCCGAGCCACAACCCAACCCCATGGAAGTCCAAGATCGTCCAACTTGGGACATACGCCAACTCGGCTCCAGCACGCCAGGTGATAAGCATTTGCTCAGAAGTCTAAAGCTTGGCATAAGGCAGATCTCAAGTAACTCTATCATGTCATGTGGACATGAGACAATGAGATAATACCTGACAACTTTAACGAACGAATATTTACCGATAATAGAGATACCTGGTACATACCGTTCTAAGTGTAGTGGGTACAAAAAGTGTCATGCTGACAAGTTCAACTACAAAACAAACGAGGAGGGGACCACAAAATTAACTAAAAAAATAAGCATTATTGAAACTCTAGTAACAAGATGCATAAATAGAAAACGATATTACTATGTAAGATGTCAAAAAAAAAAAGGATAAGAGAGATAGAATATCAAAGACAACTTAGGAAATACTTTGTAAAAGGCCCAGCCAAATCATCTGTACCTATAACCTTTTTCCTCAAGTAATACTATCCTCAAAGAGCAATAGTCTCTCGTTACAATGAGCGTAACTTTAATCCTTTAACTGAGGCGAATTACTCATACTCTTGTCTTCATTTCTAATTCAACTTCTAACTTTTTCTATGTCTTAAGCACACACTAAGCCCCTCTGCGCCTCGCACCCCATCCTGTTCTGTAGTCGAGTACTGAGATATGCGAGCACCATCATATACTATTATATATAACAACTCCATTTTTTTCTTGTACCATTGTATATCTAGAGGTGTGACCAAATAATTATGTTGCGTCTCTGCAAGTTATCCCGACGGGATAGTGTCAGAAGTGTTAAGAAAATAAAGGATTAAAAAAAGAGTAATTAAATTATATGGTACTATAACAATAATATTTTTAACTATACTTTTATTAGTTTAAAATTAAAATATAATTTATAATATTATTACTACATCATTTGATTCATATTTTTATATCAGACAGCGTAGTCCGGTCCCGGCACTACGCGAAGATTCTGCCTAGTCATAGAGGTGGAATTTAAAGGTGTGTTGTCCCGAGTATTTGAGAAGGTACCCAATGAATATGAATTTCATGTCGTCAGTACTAAAAGTCCAAGATAATAACATGTTTGGCCGACATCACTGGAATATTACCAACCCACCTTTTCGATATTCATCCCGTGTCAGTCATTATCATTTATATAATAAAATAAAAATGTGTTTAAATTTTATCTCAATTATATTTTTTTTCTCAAAATCATCATCAATCACTTATCTCACCCATCATCCATTTGTCAAACTCAAACGTCAAATCACATCACTCATTTCAATAATATATTTAATCATTGATATATTTCCTCCCCTAAAAATATTACACAACTCATTTATATCATATATTTAATTATTTAATATTTAATTAATTTATAATTAATATATTTTAAAAAAATTTAATATAATAGAATCGATTTTGTAAACACTTAAATTTTATATTTTATCGTGCCAAATACGAGTTATAACTGATATATATATATATATAACACGTGAGCTTTTGTAGTGTGGTGTGACTGTGCGGAGCTAAGGCTAGCCCATCCTTTCTCTAAACAGAAGATATTATTTTATGTAGATTTGGATCCCCCAAAGTTTGAAAATTCTTCCTTTTTTCTCAAATTGAAAAGCTATGATTACATCTTTGGATCTCATTAAGGAGCCCCACATAGCGTAATTTTTCATATTTCCATTTTCCAACAATAGATCATTCGATCTCGTTCATCAATCCCATCCCACTTTTCTCGATTTTTTGTAATTTTAATTACTTATGATTGAATCAGCGATTCTCATGTTTTTGTATCCTACCATTATGTATGATTTATTAATAAAAAAATCCATGAATTTTCAATTCGAGATAATTTAGAACCATTTGATAAATCAATTGAGATCGTTTTAGAATTTTTCTTATTTTCAAAACAATTCCTTAAATTTTGTTTTAAATATCATGGATATATGACGTTGGCCTAGTGACAACTGTACTATTATTCGCGGCTTCAATCCTTGTTGTCCTCTCTCCATGTAATCTAATAAAAAATAAAACAAAAACTTTATTACTCGATGCAAGCTGTGTTGGAAGTGATATTGATTTCAATGGAGTGCCTTATTTTGTCGTTTTTTTGGCAAAAATTGTACAAATTAACCTAGGGATAACGATAAGGAAACAGCATGATGACTTATCCGCTACAACTAGTTTGATATTTTTTCAGTTCAAATTGATTTTGGTCACCTTTAAAGTTGGAGCTCAACCACTCAGTTATACTTCAAATTATTCAATTTTTTTTCTTTTATCCAGAACCGTCTCAACCACTTGTCTTTTGGACTCGTGATTATCATGTAAATTTGAGATGTCTTTTGGACTCGCGATTATCATGTAAATTTGAGATGCTCAGAGTCACTTGTAATACTCAAACTTATAAATTCCAAGCATTAATAAACTCTTAAATTCTTCCCAATAGTATCCATTTTTTTTTTGAGAGAGGGAGAGGGGAATTTGGACCCTTAATCTTAAGAAGACAAAATTTTTACAACGTAAAGAGTACTGTTAAACCAAAAGTCATTGGCGTTGAAACCACTATGTTATATTTGATTTGATGTAAATACACCACAAAGGTAATGCTTCAAACCAAAAGTTGGTATCAATTAAGACCTGTTTATAAAAGCTCAAATGAGGCTTGGTGTGTGATAAAGACTGGACTAAGGGGTTGTTTGGTAAAAAAGTATGAGACGGCTTGGCAAGATGGATTTGAAGAAAATAGTCTAAAAGACTCTCAAATCTCACGTTTGGATTAAAAATTAAATTATGGGTTTCTAAATCCGACTCGTAGTTGACCTGAATATTCAACTCATGATCAAGGATTTCGTCAAACCTAGGGAAGGTGTGTTTGGAAAGATGGATTAAGAGATTAAGGATGCAAAAAACAAATGTACTCTTTATCATGAGTATAAATTGGATTAATTAGGGATAAAATAGTCATTTATATGATAAATAGTTGTTAATAATAACGATATATCTGTGAATCCTACATGTATATGTATTACGTACTAAACATGAGTATGAACCGAATTCAATGTTGAATCTTATTTTTGTAAAGAGAGGTTTGAGTTTAGGTTTGAGCTCGTTTGGATGAATTTGTTGGGAGGGTTTGGATTAGTTTCTCCAAACCCAAACTCAAACCCCTCTTTACAAATGTGATATTTAACATTGAATCCAGTTCATACCTATGTTTGGTATGCTCACGGATATATCACTATTATGATAATATATTTATCTATAAATGAGTATTTTGTCACTTCATCAATCTAATTCAAACACATGTTTGTATACATATGAGGTATAATTATTTTTTTGTATCTTGAACCTATTAACCCGCATTTGAAACCCACCTTCCCTGTGGGTTTGATGAAACTCATGATCGGGAGTTTAAGGTTTGAGCCAATAGCGGGCTGAACTTGTTAACGCATGCTTTAAATTTTTTGGCCAAACATGAGTTTTGTGTGTCATTAGGATTATTTTTTTCCAACCCATCTTCCAAAGCCCCTCCAATCCTACTTACTAAACAGCCCCTAAGAGTCTAAGACTACATATTTCGTTATGTTAATCTGTCGGGTGAATTGGGGTCGTGTTGAATTTTAATGGGTTCGTATTAAAAAATACTCCACCCATACCATATTCGTTTATTAAACCGTCTCTAACAAATCGTATTATATCGGGTTAGTATCGTATATAAATCATGTATAACTGATATATACACGAATCAGGTCATGTATTATTTTTGATTGGTTTTACTCATACCGATTCATTTATTAATCATATCATGTTGAGTCTGCCAATTTGCAAAAAAAGTGTCTTAAAGAAGCCTTAAATACTCTAATTTTGTGTTGTGTTAGTAGGTCGTGTCATCTTTTGACACCCATATACAACATATTGTTAGACCCACCCAAATGCCACCTCGAGATAAAGGTATTTAAATTTTTAATTACCCGTAAATTACAACTCTATTCTACTCTATCCAACTCTATTGATCGGTTACCTAAAAAAATTAGGTAAACCAACGGAAGAATTTTTCGTATTTCACAAAAGATCATGTAAGAATATGGAATACCTACAAAATCTCCGTATTCCTACCCTACCCTAAAAATTAAAATCCAAAAATTTAGAAACCTTAATATTTTATTGATATTTTATGGCTTTTATTATAT